TTATCAGTGACCGGCCTTTGACAGCTTCAAATCTTCCTAGATTTCTCATAATATGAACAAGAAATAGTTATTTCAAGTTATATTAAAATTCATCTAAGGAAATTTGTTCGCTTCTGGCAACGCTGATAATCAACCAGCCAGGCTACAGCGAGAGTCCGCTTCGGGCTTCTTCGGCCAACACATTCGAGCAGGTGTCGCGTGTGGATTTTCTAATGAAGACGAATCGATGTTGCAATATCGCACATAAGATGTTTGGGTGGTAATGATACAAATCAAGGGTAATTGTCAAATATTGTTAAAGCAGATGTTTTTTCAACCGAAGATACCCGAACGGATTGATCTGTCACAGCCGTTCTGTCTACGTGCTACCGGTTATCGGTTGGCAAATCGAAGTGTTTATTTAAATTTATAATTGGCGTGCTTGGAAAGAATACTTTGTATTCATTCTAATGATTTAATTCCATGTAATTTTCTCTCGGGTTGTTGGAAATGATTTGTGGGACTTTTCCCGGGCCTTTTTCTGACAAACAAATGAGTTTTGGGTTCCGTTTCTTTTAGGTGGATTTATTTTCAAGGAATGTAATAGTTCAGAAAATATCTTTTCTGGAAAGCGTTTAATAATCATTATTTGAATAAATCGTACAGGTTACTCGGAAACGTTGATACAGGTGCATACAGGAAGCTTCCAAAATTGTCATTTCGTATGTAGAATACAGGCCTGCTGAATCTATAATGAATACCTACCCGTTTAGTGAATGATTTTAATAACAGGTCAAGATATTGATATTATATTGAGAGAAGGCTAATGTTTACCTTATCACCTAATAAGTACTACTTACTAACGCTTTGTTGGTCTTTTAACGGACGAACTATAATTCTGTTGAAAATCTGTTTAAAATCTGTTTTTCCATTAACCAGCCATCACCCCCCTACGAACGACAACCCTCAGAATTCGAAACTTGTGCGAACTAAGGATTAACGAGGGCTTACCTTTTAACGTGTGATTCCTAAAACGGGTTGGACGATAGCAAGTGAAAATCGATCGTTCAGCCTGGGGCTTGAACCACCGACCAACGAATTCTATAATTAAGTTAACCAATCATACCAGTTCATTTCTAAAACCAAATATTCCTCTTCGTTTTCAGAAGGGAATTTTTTGGGTTCTGACAAAGGATATAATTTTTTTTACATTGATTATTAAATATGTAGACAACATTCATGAATACGATAATTATTCTTCAATGGTTCCACCACTTCAGTGGTTTACATTACAAACGTTTTTTTTATATTCTGGAAATTTTCGAAACTTAGAAAAGTAGCGAGATACATCGACTTCTCCACAAAACATGTCCTTCAAACAATATGTGTATGAAACTTTCAAACAAGATGCCGTGAAACTTGGAACTGTGTCAATTTTTTTATCAGTAATGTAAATTTGATTCTTTCAGATTCTTTCAAAGGTTTTTCCATCAGATTTTTTATGTTCAAATAGAAATGATATCAAGTGTCGAACACACAGAGAATATATAGTCAAAATTTTAAAAGATTATATGCATCTCCAACAACTAATTTAGGAAGTTTAACCTACCAAGCGAGAATCGTGCCAAAATTATTTCACCAACGAAAATAGATATTTTGGGTTTTATTCGAAAACTGAGAATATAAAGAGTTGGTCCAAATTGTGCATCAACAATGAAAAGAGAAATAATCGAATATCTAATTTCTTTGAACTCTGCCTGCCGCATTTTAATAATAAATAATTCGAATTGATACGTTTGTTTACTTCATTTCATGAAGACGTCAACTTAGTGGGAGAAACGCGCGTCGAGTGGAGTATTGCAGTTCTGGTGTTTGGGAAAAGTGCTTGTTTTGGATTTATTCTACGCCAGCGGTTTCAGTTTTACCTTCCATCGCAAGTCTTTTCCACAAACTACCCCTCAAATTACTAAAAAAATATATGTTAGATCTAGTGATCTGAGAGGCCATTGAACGAATCACGAATCGTGAGAGAATTATCCAACAGAATCCGGTGTATATTCTTAAGGGACCTACCAATTTTTCTTTTGCTTCTTTCTTTATGAAATACTAACCACTAAGTATTTGCCACAAAATTTGAACATAATATAATACTTTAATGGGTCATTTTCAGTTTTATGAGAACATCTCAAAACTCTTTTTGATGGTTTAGAATCACTAAACATCATAAAACAAAGTATTTCTTCCGCGTCTGTGTGTCTGAACGCGATATACTCAAAAACCGTCAAACGGATTTTCATACAGTTTGTGTGGAATTGTTTCTTTTTTATAAGTCTATAGGAAAGTCCGTGATGGCATATGTCTTTCTTTCAATAAATAGCCATTGTAATATTAAAAATAATGGTTACATGTAATGTGGTAATTGGAAAGTTATTTAGACGGATACGATATCAATCCTTATCAAGTAAATACATTGTTATTTCCTTAAGCATGTTATATCCTTTATACCGCACAATTCAAATCAATATCTTAGGAGTTACTGCAAAATTAAAACTACAGCGTCTTGAAATAGATTGAGATATCAATGCGATGATGCAGAAAGATTGCAATTGAGAGTGAATTTTATTAAGGGCCATTATCATGGCCAAATGCAGGCATACGTATATGCTCTGGTATAAACGTGCGAAGCCGGGGATGTTCGCTATTTTACGAGTATAAATATCAGGGCAATAGACTCGACTAATTAACAATTCCTTATCCAGTTTCCTGTTGACATTAACACCGTGGTAATGCGACATAGAAACGCACCTGTTTAAAAAGGAATTGCTATCAACCGACACGTTTTCACACACTGATATGGCATCCGTTAGAAACATAAAAAATGAAAAAATACGCGTAAAAGACATATTCCAAAAAAGCGATTCAATTTGCCTCCATTTAGGAACCCAGGTGTATATGCATCGGTGATTTTGCATAAAAGATGGGACTGTATTAGGTTTCCACGATGATATCCATTTAGAAAAGGATATAAAGGAAATAAGCGAGGATAATAAATCATTGTTATTGGGATTTTCCGAGATCTCTCCATTTTCTCCTTGCATGCGTTTGAAAGCATACGTTTTTTCTTCGACGTAGATAACAAAATAATAAAATGGCTGCTGTCAGAAGAACAGAATACTACATCAATTTTGCAAAGTATGTCACGGAAATGAAATACAAAATACTGATATGAATGCTTCTTTCGATAAAAAACAAAAGGAATACGAGAAAAATTTGATTACATTTTATCGAATACGAGAAGAAGCACAGTCCAATTTCAACATATTTGAATTCAATACCCTCACGGTTTATCCACATAGAATTTCTAATACCTGACCCAACATTTGACCCAAAAGAGATTACCACATAAAAAATGAACGAATTACCAATTTTCTTATCTTTGTTATATTAAATGGCTGACTAGGAGGTTATCATATTATTAACAAGTCAAGAGATTACCACACTGACTGGGATTTTTTACAAACAAAAAATTGACCTGCGATAAACTGAGTGATGAACCTATATCAGGGATATATCTTTATAAACTGTGTTTCGCCAGATTTCACATGGTGATAACATTTTTGTCAATTTCACATGATAATTACGTCGACCGAAATTAGATGAGGACCATTGGTAATTTTATTTATTATTGAAGATAACTTCATGGAGATAGAATATCTTTTTGTATGCTCGTTATTATGCAAGTAACAAAGATACACTGCTTTTTGTGATTGTGATGTGATTGCCATATTAACCTTTTCATCTATTCAATAATTTTTTCAATGACGAACACATTTGGATATCATTTTGGCATAAACTAGTTCAAAACTACCGAATATTATGGTCAAATATGAACACTTTTCGTAAAACAAGCGATATAAAAAATTATCGATTGATCAGTCAAACCAACCAATCAAAATTTTACTTTTTTACAAAAGAATATTCAACTTGTAAGGATGTAGGTAACGTATCTATCAAAGTAGGCTTGGAAGTATTGAATAAATTGAAATTGAAAAGTGATATAGTGATAATATGATAGAATAATACATTGACACCATTTAAAATTATATCACTTTAGCGAATTTTTATTTCAAAACAAGAAATATAAAACTAGGAACAGGGGCTTGGTTCTGATATCAGTTATAAGTTTTATGAATTCACTTTTTTTCATATTGAAAAAGATATTTCATTTGTAGAAAAACTCATTTTTTTTTGTTAAATCATTGGGGTGTTATGGCCTTGTGAGTAATATTCCTATGAAAGTATCCATTTTATAGTCCTGATGATGACTTTATTAACTTGTTGACAAAGAAACTAATTCTTTTTCTAGTACTATTTTATCAAATACTAGGTAGGTAAATACAATTTACAAGTAACAATAATTCGTTTCATACCAGAAATTCAGGTCATAATCCATAATGAAAAGAAGATATAGGTAATACCTACAAGTTTTGGTAAAAATCCATTATTTATGAAAGTTTGTAAAATTATACCTACTAGTTATCTCTGGAGATTTTTTTTTCAAAATTCTGTAAAATCCATAAAAATTGTACAGTTTCAGTAAAAAGTAACGATTGATTTTTTGAGTAATTTTTTCATCTTTATTAAAATATCTATTTTACAGTTTTTAATCATATCGACTTTATGCAGAGTATAGGTACTTATACAAGAACATTAAAATTCTATATTTTGTACCTAGTACCTAATATTCAATTTTAACGAATTATTACATGTTTTTTTTTTGATTTGGTAGCTTTGAAGCACATCATTGTTGAATTATTTCAATTGAATATTTTCCAGCCAAGCCAACCTTTTCATATAAAATACCTGTCTCCTCTCTTTAATACACATTATTTATCTGAACCTTATAGCCAAAGCCTTCGTGCTAAAAGCTCTCCACATATCAGAACAAAGGACACAAAACGTGACATTGTCACCTTAAAATCCCTGTAAGGAACAACGAAAACAAAGGTTCATTCTCTTACCTTCTCCAGGCATTCTTGCCCAATGGATTTGGGATCGACCCGGACCTCAAAAACAACCGAATTTGGCTGGCTGATCAGGCACCACATTTTTAATGATTTTTGCAAGGCAAGGTTGCAAACTAACGAACGATAACAGAAACTAGAAAAACTGTTCGCTTTTCTTATAAAGTCTTATTGTCCTGTGCGTTTTACGGCGCGTATTTCTTTGTGGAGAACTTTTACACATTTTATGTTAACAAAAACTCGAGTAACTGCGAGCAGTGCGAGCAGCAACAGTTCTAAGGTAAATAAATCCAATAAAAGCACTCGTTTCAGTATAGCCGTCCTTTAAAACGAGCACAGTGCGCAGTCTCAGGAGGTAAAGACATACGTTACTGTAGTTTAATGAACGATGGCAAATAGAGGTGCTTGGGCGGTAGGTCTTTGCTTGAGTAAGAAACCTACGTTGAACAGCTGTAAACATAGGTGTATCATCTGTTTGAGAAATGTGGGAATTTTGTCATTCAAAATAAATTTGTATTTAACTAGATGTCACCATATACTTGAATATATATTTGATATGAACCAAATGGTTACAACAAGAAATATACATATACAGGTAGTAATTTTGAAGCAGCTATTGCAGTCGAAGACAAAATGAGAACCTTTTTTTCTGTTGAAGCTTTGAAGACTCAATTAGCTCTTATTCAGGAACTCTATAAGTATAAAAATGAAAATTTGTAAAAACACAAATAAATAGATAAGAGTGGTACTTACGATAACGATGAGGTTAAACATGAGAAGCCGCAAAAACATTTGAATTATAACACACACTTTTGAAGTATGAAGTATGATATATGTAATATCTCATAAATCAATTATGTCTGTAGTTGGAAAATTATGAAAACTATGGTAACTAATACTAGTATCCCAAGTAAAGTTGTCATGAAATTTTCATATTTTTTTTGTATTAGATATTGTTCCATGTTACACAAAATGTCGAAAACTGGATTTTCAAAAGTGTATTTTTTGCATTCTCGTCAGTGTAAGTGATTATATAATTCGATAGCCATATAAAGTGGGAAGTGAAGATTTCAGAAAAATCATTTATATACAAAATGAACAGCAGCGGTTCATTAGTTCAATTCCATAATAGTAGGCACTAAATTCTCAGAAATATTATTGCATTAAAACGAAAACATTGTTGTCACGGTTGTGATTCTATATATTTTACCATCATTTTTTTCATCAGTTAGTATAATTTCCGTACGCCACTGCAAGAGACAGATTAAGGCAAAAAATGTCAGTCTTTTCTCAGAATTTAATACCTACTATTTTGGAATTATAGAATAGCTAACTTCCTTTTTAGTAAAACAGAATGTACTTTTTTCCCAACACCAAACCGTTCTTTTAACAACTCGACACGTGTTTCGATGACCAAGTGATCATCTTTAAGAGGAAGATCAAACTGATCTTCTTCTTGAAGATGATCACGTGGTGATCGAAACACGTGTCGAGGTGTTAAAATAACCGTTTGGCGTTGCAAAAAATCTCCAGTAATATTGAATATTATTGGAGTTTTTTCCAACACCAAACCGTTATTTTAACGACACCTCGACACGTGTTTCGATCACCAAGTGATAGTCTTCAAGAGATAAAAATTATTTTTATGAGTTGTTTGTCACTTCCAGGACTCTTTCCTTTTTTCTCTTAGCGAAAAATATTGTAAACGCTCTGTTTGTCATAATTCGTTTACAGAAATACCATACTACCTGCATAAATCTCATGAACTTTTTATTGGTGTATCTAAAAAGTGTATATCTTGTTTGTTGAATCCGCAAATACAGACGTGTTTTGAATACAGTACACTGTTTCACTGTTAACTTGATACTGGATAAACCAGAGGCGTATCAGGTTTCATTAACATGGACAATTTCGAATTCTGAGAAATTTGTTTGAAACAGAAATTACAGTAACATTTTGTTTCTTCAAACAAGCGCTTCGCAAACAGTCCAAAACCTTCGAAATTGATCAATGGATAACTGTGCCAATTTTGTAAATTCTTGTGTTTAATGGTGGTGAGCCTCAATTTCCATTATTATTTCGTTGAAAACCTTCGACAGACAGTCATGTAATTGAATTATCTTCATCTTTTCCAAGAGAAATAATTCCTTATAGTTCAGACGGCGTTGGAATAAAGACTCAGTTAACACAGAATATCTATTTTGTGTCCATTTCAAGTCCGGGATATCAGGAATATCGTATAGATATCAGTAAAGGATGAGTATATCCATCGAAGTTATTCTGTCCATGGATGCATATATTCATTTTTCAATTAAACAAACTTCTAACGGCAAACCTTGGTTCAACAAAAGTTGCGAGCAAGCCGTCGCCTCCAAAAATCTCGCCTACCGGCAGTGGCGCAAAAATCCCAGTGCCAAAAACGGAACTAGTTTGGTTGATGCTCGCAACAGCTCCAAACTTATAAGATAAATGAAAGCAATTAACTTCACAATCAGAGAATTAGGCATAAACTGCTTGCCAATCCCAACAGGTCTAGCAGGTCCTTCTTGTCAGTAGCTAAAGCTGTTAAAACTTTACAAAATCCACAATTCCATCAGTAACACAAGCGGATGGTTCAATTGCAACAAGAACTATAGAAAAAGGAAATCAACTAGCTGAACAATTTGCGTCCCACTCCACAGTCAATTTACTGGGAAATGCACCACCTAATATTCCCACAATAGTAACACAATGCCGGAAATTACTTTTAGACCACGTCTAGTCGGGCAAATATTATATTTCTAAGGCTTTTGACCGTATGTGGCACGAGGGTTTGCTGGCCAAACTTCGATGCTATGGCTTGTCGGATCATTTTTGTGTACGGCTCTCTTGCTTCCTGAAAGTGCGTTTCCTGCAAGTGGCCATCGATGGATATCTCTCGAATACCTTTACCATCAACGCTGGTGTTCCTCAGGAATCCATATTCTCTCCAACCCTCTTTTTATTGTATATCAACGACTCATAGAAAAAAACGAAGAATATGATATATTGCTTTGCTGACGACAGCACACCCGTCTCGTCATTCCATTTGAATTCCAGGTCATCGGCTGCGGATGCACATCTTCTCCGGCAGCAGGAGGTTGCATATCTTAATGAGGATCTGGAAGTGAGTTCGAATTGGGGTGAAACTAACCAGGTTCAATTCAATGCCACAAAAACCCTGGCATCGGTTTTATCCAAAAAGATAAATGTCTACGAACCGGATATAATAATGTCATGACAGACAATCCCGCTTTCTGCTTCGATAAGTTTGTCGGGTGTTAAAATGGACACCAATATGTCTTGGCACAATCATGTCGCTGGAATTGCAAAGCCTGCTTCTCAAAAGCTTGGAACACTGTTCTCAACCAGAAAACTGTACACACCTCAGGAACTTTTGATGCTTTATAAAGCTCAGATCAGACCTTATTTGGAGTATTGTTCATATGTATGGAGCTCCGCCCCTAAGCATAACCTGCAGCTACTGGATTCCGTCCAGGAAAAAGTCATCCAAGTCCACCAAGAGCGGTGCATGTCAGAAATACGCGACGGACTGTGGCTGCTCATCATTTGGAGGTTCAACTCAGTACACCTCGAACTTCACTGCTCAAGAACTCTTTCATTTGGGGAACTGCGTTTATGTGGAATACACTTCCTGAGAACATTTTTTCCAAACGGATTTAATATCCGCTACTTTCGTACAGGCACCGCTCTTAGAGCGCCTTAAGAATCTTCCTGTGGTAATTGTCCTTCAAAAAATTTAAGGATATCATATGGATATTTATAGGATACACGAAAAAATATTGCAATTTCATATCAAAATTGAATTTGTTAATGAAAAACTGATAATCGAAAACTCAAAACTAGTTGCTTATCCAGATGACTATTTCATCTTCGTCCTGACACGGAAATTTTGTTTGGTATGTAAAAAAATATTTACAAAAAAAATCCTGATCAAATTATGATAATGTATGATAAATTTTTCACCTTTACCCCACTCCCATTATTTCCTATTATGTATTAGATACAGTTGCTTGCTTTTTTCATTTTTTACCATAATGCTAGACGAATAGAAAACATTAGGGAACGGTTGGGGTCCTCAAGATATTTTAAACAAGGTGAAAACATTCTTGGAACAATTTTTTCTTCGAAATAATCAAATTCGGAAATAGCCTACAAATTGAACTTCATTTGCCTTCAATTCGGATAATTTCCCCAAGCTATATCTTCACTTGTGGTTACCTTAGGAACATTCAGCTTTATTATCAGCGTTTAACAATACGGAGGAGAAAATATCGCACTTGGAACACACTTATTGATACCATCAATTTAACACAATTATTGATACTATCAATAAGAAATAAAGAAAAGGTGTGACAGTTGACGATACGTCAGAGTCCGAAGTTCACATCATATCACATCTGGATAATTATTTGAATAAACCATAACTTGACAAAACAATCATGAAAGACCTTTGAATAAAATTCTTTTTCTTCTCTTAGTTTCTTGGTGTGTCACCCTGAAGTCGATGACAACCAACTGGTACCTAGTTGGAGGATTCCTTAAGTACACTGATTTTCAATTTAATAAATGATCCAAAAAAAGTACATTGGGAAAATGTCATTTTTGTCAGGTACAAATCGATTTTTTAGGATATAGTTTTCCATCAATCTTTTATCTGATGGAAAAATGAACTAACGGTGGAGGATGGTTGCCTCATGTGGAGATATAGAGTGATTGTATAAAAAAAATCAGAAATTGATTCTTCAAGATTGGCATAAAAGTCATCAAAGTATAGTGAAAACAAAATCATTAGATCATTGATAAGTATGGAGGCCTTCGATCAACGAAGATCTTGAAATTATTAATAGATGAATGTGTCTTGTCATAAATTCCACGGAGATTTAAAAAAAATATTTGAAGTTGAAATATCGTAATTACTGCTTACTAGGAACATTTTCGGTTGATAAGTTAATTACTTCAATATTGAAAAATGTTTAATGTCAATTTCTTATTCCATAATGATTGATGAAATATAAAAATTAAAAGGCGACAAAGAGAACTTGAACCACGAACATCCAATTTCAGATAGCGCTGTTTCGGTCCGTCAAGATCTCATCAGTGATACTAGGCGCTGTGTTTTGAAGGGAAACATTTGAACTCTTCTGTGCCTACGTGTTCCATTGAAAAATAGGATTTAGCGTTTCAAATATCGCGAAGTTGTTTCCGTCATAAAGAAGACTGTATAAGAAGTAATTCTCTTACCCTAGGTCATGGATGGCGAATCATCCACGTCACCGTGTCACTGATCACGAAATTCATTATGAACTAAGAAAAAACGTGTTAAATAAGTATTTTATGACGATCAAACGCGAGTGATCCTATGCTACGGAGTGTCCGGAGACTAATAAAAACATTGCAAAATGTCCCTTTTTTGTAGTAAATAAAGAGTTTTGATAGTATTTATTATTATTATTTTCCAAATAATCAGAAAGTCAAAATTATGTGATGGCACGTCTATGACCTCAATAAACATTCTTTAGAAAAAATGGCACGTTGATGCATAAAGGTTTGCCTACCCTGCCCTAGGTGTTTATAAAAGAGTATTAATCCGTTATATTGAAGTGAATAAACTGTTTTATTTAATTATTTCAGTAAATCATAAAAATTGTGTCCAAATTCTCACCGTGAAAACCTGTCACAATTGATATTTTGCGCGTTTGTTTGAAATGCATTTTTTTTTGTCTCGCAACAAAATAGGTTTCAGTAATTTTCTCAACNGTTATAGGACATAATTTCAGAATATACGTCTTTGACAACGCTATAACTTCATTTCAAAACTTTTTTTTGTATTTCAGTCATCAACGGTAGTTGAACACTTCGTAATTACTGGTGAGCGAAAGTAATTACTGCAAAACTAATGAATGTTATTTGTTTATACATTTAATGTAATATAACATGTATATAATTCCATATAAAACTGAGTGGGCTCTCCTTAACATTATTCAATCATTGTTACACGGCTCAGTAAGGAAGGTTGCATACTTACTATTCAATTTTCAATAGATAATAGTGTTGCCAATATAGTTTTTCTTGACTGTTTTTGGAGAAAATCCCAGTACGAAAATATTTCATTTTCGAAATCAAGTATTTCGAGATGGCAGCAATTAGTATTGATAATTATATAAGATTTGATAATGAAAACTTCAATAATATGGCTTAGAATGGTAACCATGTATCGATTGTTGATACTAGAAAAAGAATGGTTTTCCATTATTTACTCGGGAAGTAAGTGTTTCTATTGATTTTGTCTATATGTCAATGACTACACTTCCATTGCAGCAAAGTTCAATCAATTCAATACATTTATCCATACTTGTTTTCGATTTGGGAAAAGATATTGTAATCAAATTGTGCCTGTCTCATATGCCTCGAATTACTTTTGCAATTCTCATCAGACAATATTCAATAATTTTGACACTGCAAGTAAATTAACAACATTCGGATGATAAAATACCTAAAGTATATGATTATAGAAAATTCATCATTCTTATAAAGATCGTTTGATACTCACCACTCCAAAGAATCCAATTATTAACGTTTCCATAAAAATGCCATTCAATTGACTACTACCGTCTCAAAATACTGAAAAAGAAATCGTTTCGTGAAGGAGTTTTCTCAAAAAATAAGCTCGAAAATGGTGTTTCAACCAAAAAAATATATTGGCAACACTTACTGGAATCATTTATTGGAGATGAAGATTCAAATTTCAACCATGCGTCGCCTTATAGATCATAAATGTGTTTTGCTGGTAGCCAAACTGAGTTATTCCCGTAATTAGTTATTAGCTTTCTCTGATCGAAGTATTTTAATTGAGCAGAGAAAGCCAATAACTTTTGTCGGAAATGATAGGTCTGGAATGAGCTTAGTGTGACCGAAACATACCTAATGTTTTAACTACGCCCGTAACTCCATCTAGCGATTCTCTAATAAATCACAGACAATTTCAAAATCAATTGTTGCAAGGGCCAGTGTCAATGAAAAACTCATGGAAAAAAGCAAAAATCCAAGGAACAAGAAAAATAACAACTGAAAGAATCAATAAGTAAAAAAAAGAAATTGCCAAACCAATCAACCTTCCAATTAACGTTAAAATTTTGGAACCTCCTAAAAACCAAAAAATTTTCCGGAAAAAACCCCTAAACTGGCTTACTGAACAATTTCCTTCAAATTTAGAAGTCGCAAGTTGAGAGGTAAGACCTCGTTAATCTTTAACTCAAACAACTTTTGAGGGTTGTCGTTCGTAGGGGGGCACAGTTGGTTAACGGTAAAACAGATTTTAACAATGAATATAGTTATATTATGGTGCTTTTTACTCATGACGACCATACTCGGACATTATGAAACTGAGTTTCTGAAATATAAGATGAACATAACCATTCAACATATCTGACAGATATGCATTTATAAATTTTTTCTGTTATGTATGTTTTGGTCAGCCTGGGATGTGTCATATCGTTTTTTCATTTTAATACCCGTTGGTTGGTTTAGTAGTTGGCAGAAGTGGTGCTGTGTTGCTGTAACCGTGCACTGTGCGGTGCGTTGTTGGACAATTTTTTTTCTAAAATGGCTGATTATCATGCCAAAATCATATGAAACTTGGGACGTGTTTTTTTGAAATATGCCCTTTTGTTACTTTCGGTCAGTTGTTTTCAAGTGAAAGTGGTTTTCCTAAATATGTTATCGTTCGTATAAATAAGACCTTTTCGTGTTATTTGTGTTATGTAGATTCTAGTGAGGACGAACTGGAGTAGATAAGACCATCTGATGTTTTCAGCACAAGTTTAAAGAATTGTTCGTTTGTACTACTGTGTGTTAAAAATACCTCATGAATGATAGTAAGTTGACCAGAGAAACTGTTACTTTTATTACTTTTACTTAGAAATAAGGTCGATTGGTACCAGTCTGCTCTATATAGACCAACGATGTTTCATAAGAGTTGCTGATTTGCCTATATTTGGTTTGAATTTTGATCTGAGGCCTTTATTTAACGCGAATGTTTCTGCTGAGAGTGTCTATTTTAGTGCCCTTAAAGTTCAACATTTTTCACAAGACATCTAAAAATACCAGTTACTTCATGTATGCTGTTTTTGGGTTGTTCCAAAAACATCTTCCTCAATTTCTGTCCCAGGAAACTCTTCATCAGGAGGTATTAACAGTACCTATCTGTTAGATATATTGTGAGTGTTGATGGGAATATGCACTCCAGTTAAAAAGGAAATGTAAATTATTTCCTCTAGAATTGCTAATTATAACAGTACCTGGTAGGAACCTGTACAAACATCTGGATTCAAAGATGTTTATAAAAGTTATGGATCTTCTTTAATGAATTGCTGTAAGTAAAATCGGGTGAGTCTGAAGAGAGAATTTTTTTTTGGAATGTACATAGATACTTGTACTGTTCGCATACATAAAATTAAGAAAAAGATTACTAAAAAATAGAAGAATGAGTAAAGGATACTTTTTTCAATTTCATGAAAATAGCCAAAAAATGGACAGAATAAACCTACACAATACAACAATATAGATAAAAAAAATCTTGATACTCATTTTCCCTATCAGATATTCCTTTGAGACTGCCTGTTGGCAGGGTCTGGATGAGATGTGGACTACTAGTATGGTGCTCCAGGGTTATTTCAGATGAAGGCAAGCACGGAAAACCTACTGCACCATCCATGCTCTTAACGATATGCAGTGATATAACTACTTGCCATGTTTCATTATAGTAATTAGCAACTAATAACTTCTTGAAATACAGGAGAATCCATTGAATTTTCTGAATTTCCAGTCAAAAATATTTGGCTCCACAATCCCAAGGAATAATATATTAAGTTATACTTTTGATGTATCTTTGAAGCCCAAACCTTTCTTTCCCAAAAATTACTTAATCTCTCTCAAAAATATACCCCTTTCAATTCAAACAAGATTCCTAAGGCTAGGATGAAGTCAAATAAGCGAATGAATGTCATTATATACTGTCGTCATCAATGACATGAGTAGACTAGTAGACTTGACTCATTCGTGACTTAAAGTCCTAATGTTATGGATGAAATGAGTGCTTCGTCTTGTGGGGTTTAAGAGGCAATAAGACAAGTGTCTTATTCCGAAACATCTGCTATTGAGGATGACAGTGTTCCATGTAAGTGAAATTTACCTCTTTCATATACTCTGAACCTCACTACCTGTGACGGAATTTCCCAAATAACGAGAGCTTGAGAAAAAAATCATATTCATATTCAGAATGGCATGGTCTGCCACCTCATCAGTTGTAAGAAAAATATATTGTGTAGCAATCCTGTGAATGATTTCTGATTCAATCCCATAGCCAATGTTTGGAGTACAAACTGAATTAGGAAAAAGTGTTTTTTTTTGCATAATACAATGTTCATATAGAAGTAGTTGTCTCGACAGTACTTTATCTTTTGTGTAATTCGATATTTATATGAAAGAAGTTGTTTAGAGAAGGCTATTTCTTCCAGTGTGTGTCTAAAAGTATTATTGTGAAAGCAGCCAGAGGTTCTAGCCACGGATTTGTCAAAGCAACGCGCGATTTCCAAAAATCACGGCACCCAAAATGAGAATCAAATTCTTGGCCAGCTATAAATTTACTCATGGACCTAAAATTTACTTGATTATATTATTTTTAAAAACCTATCAAAACAAACACCACTGACCCCATGACTGGAAGTCATCAATGATTAGCTAATGGAAATTTATATTAATACAAGATAATGTGTAGGAGGAAATGGAGCAAAATGAAAGTAGAAATCAAATATTGGAGTACCAGATTCATCTAAGAATATACAGGGAGTAACAAGACAATGACTAGACTAGAGTTGAATATACAAGGTGTATCAATGAAAGTTAAATAAGGTCGGTCTCATATAGTTATATTATTTTTTTTATTCTGAATGTTTATGCTAACCCTAAAAAAGTTTTTGAAATCACTTGGGAATGAAGTATATTTTTGAAATTTTTAAATCGAAGTTGAAAACTTAACCCTGTCTCGAAATTTGCCTTGTTCAAATGCGAGCATTTATTTCATGTATGAAAGAGCAAATCAAGGGTATCAAATATAAAAAAAAAACATTGAAGAGTTCAGTACTCGTTAATTACAATGAATCGCCAAACAGGCATGGTAGTGATTTTGATAGGTCTTGAGGATTACACAAACGCTCCGTTTGGGTCACCCTGTATATGGATCGTCTCTGAAATCAGACAGATTAGTTCAGAACGAGGATTAGTTCCGAGTTCGGACAAGTGACGAGGTTACAAGCGAAAGTGAACAAATGCAGTGCGACAATTATGACGTATAATTGAAGTAAACATGTTAAGTTTTAATTTGGATTAACAATTGAGGTTGTTAGGTTTTATCGAATTTCCAACTTATTCATTATAAAGAACCCGAATTTGGACTCTGGCTAAGTTTTGCCGCTTCTATGTCTCATTACGGCTTATACGAGGGTGATCTGAAAAGTTTCCGACTTAACATGAAGATAAGAGCACCTTAACAATAATGAATTCTACACAATTATATATGCAAATGGCATAGTTATCTTGCAGACCGGCAAATTTGTGAACACACTGTCCGATAGAGTGCAGGATGGAATCAAATTCCCAAGAAGACTGAGATGGTCCTTTTCACCAGGAAAAGAAGTTTAAAACCTCTTTAAAAACAAACTAAACTTCTCTGAAGAGGTGAAATACCTTGGTACTATCCTCGATAAGAAGCTAACATGGAACTCTCACTTACAGGACTCGCATGGGGTCTTTCACCCCATGTGGTCACCTGGATCTACACTGCAATAATAAGACCTATCTTCTACAAGCAACGGCCATCCAAAGATTATATCAAACATAGCGACTGGCTTGTTTAAACATCACAGGAGCCTCGAGAACAACACCAACCGCGGCAATGGAATTAATTACGGGTCTGACCCCTCTGGACCTTTACGTTACAGAGGTTGCGTTAATGGTCATGTTACGATTACGCACGGCTGGTGTAAACCTCGAAGTAGGAATGGGTCAATTAAGGCTGAGCCATTGGCGAGAAGCGCTTACTGCGCAACCTCTGCTGCAGGCAACCAGTNAGAGATATGAGTAGCAGAGGGTAAGTTAGCTTAGGTCCACAGTGAGTGGGTCTATTCGACCCTCCACCGCAACCTCCAAGGGTTTATTGTGGCTCACACCTATTCACACTCGACCAAATAAACCCAGCTTCTTAACGAAGCCGATTAGCTTGTATGGTGAGTGGTCTTTCAGGTCAGATGGTAAGAGTACGGCTCTGCTGAACTCTAAAAACCTGAGGTTACGAACATGTCAAAAGAACGTATTTGTGACATTAAATCAACATTTAGGCATGGGAAAGCTGTCCGCGCGTTGGGTGCCGCATTTCCCACGTCAGACAAAAAACGTGTTCAAATGAACATTTCTAACTTTCTGTTGGTGCAGTTTAGGCGCAATGAATCTGAGTTTTGGCGCCGATTAATTACTGCAGATGAAACTTGCATATACCATTATACGCCCGAAACAAATATACAGTCTGAACAGTGGCTGCAAAGGGGAAACCGGCTCCAAAAAAGCAAAAACTGTCTTTATATACAGAGATAGGAGCAATGCTGGGAGAAGTGTGTAGTGTTAAAAGGAGACTTCGTTGAATAATAAAAAAAATCTGAAAAAATACTATATATAGGCCGTTTTTTTAGCTGGTCCCACTAACTATTGCTATTTCGGAAACTGTAAGTCCTACAAGGACGGTTAAATTGGAAAAAAGTTTCCTATTATAGGGAATTTGAATAATCTCTTTTTAGATTGAGAATATCGGGGGACGTTTTTGAAACTAGAATTTTCGAATTTCGTTTGTTGGTTTTACGCCTCCATTTCGAATGATATAAAAAAGGCAGAACTTTCAATACTGTTTCAAATTTGTTACAATCTGATATGGGTCGTTTCGTTCTTTAGATTTCATCATCAACTTTATTTTTTACACGCTTTATATCAGCTCCACCTATATGTATGTATGTATATTTGTTTGTAACTCTCAGAATTGACAGAATTATCGACATTATTGCTTGATCCGTTCGCGAGCAGATGGCGCTGTACATAACCTTCTTGATATTTCTTGATCTATTCGCGGGCAGATGGCGCTGTACGTAACTTTCGACATTATTGCTTGATCTATTTGCGGGTAGATGAAGCTGTACGTAGAACACAGAGTCAGATGCTACAAATGAAATACGAATATATACAGATTGCTCAAAAACCAAAGAGACTCAGGATGTGGAGTGTACTCCAAATCACTAATCCTAAGAATTAAGTGGGGAATGGGAAAAAATACCAGCGTGGTCCAAACAGAACTGGCTGGTATCTCAATCGCCACAAAAGAAATAACCAGGAACGGAATTTCTGGCAAAAACATAATCTGCACTGACAGCAGACGAGCCCTTATTAGCCTTGAACAGACAACGTGTTACCTCAGGGCTAGCTAAAGCCTCGGTAGATAATAACATTATCCTGAGGTGGGTTAAAGGGCTCGACAGGAGTAAAGGTAATCGCATTGCTGACTCTTTAGCCAAGGAAGCGGCTGGACAACTGCGACAATTGTGGAACTAGCGAATGTTACACCGATGCTCAATCCCTAAAGGGATGGTATGGAATCAAAGGATGCAACCTTGCCAGGATCACCCTGGGCGACCCTGGGATGCTGGCGCCGAAGAAATATCTGGCGATGACCAGTAACAATCTACCCTTAACAGTAGAATTTCTGACTGGCCACTGTCAACTAAGTAAACACCTCCATAATATGGGGCTAGTGGACACACCTCTATACAGGATGTGT